AGAGAGAGAGAGAGAGAGAGAGAGAGAGAGAGAGAGAGAGAGAGAGAGAGAGAGAGAAAGGAGAAAGAGCTCTATCGTAACTTCGAATTCTGGAAAGCGAGGGATGCGAGCATTTCGGTTCCCACATCCCCCTCGTGTACATCGCACCGTTGTGTTCCAACTTAGAACGCCTTTTCCGATTGCCCAGACTTTGCGTTCTCGTACGGAGTTACGTTCTAATGAACCTGACGCGGGGAGGGAGTTAGGCATTGCGTCTCGAAGTGGTTCATCTACGTCGAGAGGTGGCGTAACCTATTTTGGCGCGCGGTAATGGAATTATTTCCGGTCCAATAAATTTCACTCCGGCAAACTAAACTAATCTCTCGCCGCCCTTCGCTAGCACTCTTCTTCCCTTATCTCTCTCTCTCTTTCTCTCCCTCCATCTTTTTCTCTTTCTCTTTCCCTCTCTTCTCTTTCTCTCTCTCTCTCTTACTTTCGCTCGTACATTGCCGCATCTGCATCTGCACCTGTACGCATGCGGCCAGAGAAGTGAGTCCTCTCGACGAGACGCTAAGCAAGTGATGCAAGTGTGTTCAATGTAGCGTGCTGGCGAGACGACAATCACTGTCTGAGGCTCGGCGAAAACAACGGTGTTCATCCGTAACCTCGTAGATCCGAAGTGTGAGACGAGATTATTCGAGCATCCACCCCGTCACACTAACTTCCAACGATTAAAGACGCGACGAGATCGGATAGATAAAATAGATCAATAAGCACTTCCGACGCGCTTCATCACAGAAAAATTGTTTGTCTTCGTTTCTTTCTTTTTTGGTTTATTTATCTATTTCTTTGCCAACTATCGAATTTCATCTCAAACTCGACACGTTAACTTGGGATTTCAACGTTGCACATACTAAGAAAAAAAATATCCGCACAGAAAAAAGAATATTCTTGTTTGGAGAATATCTTAATTATTGACATTTTAAAAATAAAATTAATATTAAAATGAGATTATATGGCGGTGAACGAAAATAAATTAGTCTTCAATCAAGATGAACACAGTAAAATTAACATAAATTTAATTAACACAATCATTTCCTCATAGAATATTACAATATTGATATTCTTACTTATATATTTTTTTTCTGTTTTTGTGGAATATAAAGTTAACTCGCAGAAATAAATTGTATTGTACAGAAGTAAACTTTATATTCTGCAAACAAGAATTTTCAAGTATAGATTTTTCTCAGTGTGAAAATCGTATCACACATGTTCGCGACAAGCAGCGTATTTCGTGGTATATTATTCGTCTACGAAATCGCGGATTCGGCACCTGACGCGAAACCAATAATTTCACACGGCAACTACGGAATTACTCAGGACGGAGATCAGGTACTCCCTGAACTGCGCTTAAGACGGTATCCTCTGCTTTACCGTGTCCCGATCCACATACATATCTGAGAGGGCGAAGGGTATCCTAAGGCTCTATCCTGAACTAAGACTAGACTTAGACATGGGATTTCATGGGACATAATCTGAAAAGCTCGGCGCTAGCTCATAACCAATGCTCTCTGAGCCCGGGACCGGCGCGCTGAACATACGTCGGCATGTCTATTCCGTAGGCAATTGCGTCATTCTACATGACACTCGAATGGCGCTCTCGTGCGTATAATAGTCATTCCAAACGCGGCGCTCTTCTGCCCTAAGATTTGTCCCGAATACGAGAAACGTCCCGCGGCGGCATTATAATGAGATATGGAATTACGCTTACGCATCGCGTAGGAACATGATTGCTAAGTTGAAGGAATCATTTCCCCTGCGTCAATCCGGTTAGCATATAATCGAGGAATTAAATAAACCGAGCAATTCAGAGACGTGGTGATTTGATGAAAAATAAACAAACGGGCGCGTTCACGTCGAGAGTGTGTCGTGTTTTACTGTCGTGTCTGTTGTAAACGACGTTAATCATATGCATTTCCACAACAGAGAGACATAAAAACGAAATTTGAATAAACAGCGTGTAGCGTTACGATCAACAGATGACGGGATTTTTTGCGCGTGTGTGTGAACGTTATTTGTTATAAACTGGTAGCTACACGAGTCGAAATTTAAGTTTCACATTATCCACGCAAATTCCGACGAACCACGAAAAATCTCAAAATATAATATTGTATTTACAATTTTTTATTGACAGCATAATAAATTTGTATTCACAAACCCGTTACTCAGACACACCGACACGAATCGCTTTTTAGATCGGATGTTTTTTGTAGCATAAAATAAGTGCATATACAGGTTGACAAATAACGAGAAATTTTTTCACGAAGCTGTCCGTTCCAAACGGAAATTGATATAATAAATGACTTCGCATACCTGGATACATGCGATATATCATTGACCGCATCCCGTCCTGGCTTCCCGATGCAACATCCTGCTTCCCGCTGCTCCTTGGTGGCATTCTGGACACTCACTCGAGATACTAATACGTTCGCGCAAATACCATGCGAATACGATCGTAGAAATGCGTGCCGATGAACCGACGCGATCGAATATACTTCGAGAGACGACGAAATGTTTCACGAAATCACGGAATCACGAAAAGTTAAGAACTGTCTTCGTCTTGCACGCTCTGAAAGTATCATTCTGCCTTTATCGCTCATTACATGCCGAAGGAAGATAGAGTGATACTTTCAGCACGAAAACGTGCAAGACGAAATTAGCTCCAGACGTCAACACGCGTACTACTAGTAGTGCGCGACGCTCGCCGGCTCGAGTCACTCTACTCAAGGACTGTCGCGTGCCGCGCTCGCCTCCCCCCACCCTGCCGCCCCATCAATCGCCAAGCGTCGCCTCTCGCCGTCAAATGGCCGCGCTATCACAACATCAGCCCGGAACATCCCGGACCGTTAAAGCGGACAAAAACTTATTTTCGCGTAACGGCGTTACCGCCTGAGATTCGCGTAACCTCCGGCATAATATTGACTGCGTTCAGCAGAGAAAGCTGCTTTGTAACTGTTGTAAAATTCGTGAATCTGGTACATGCTCTTGGATTCAACCAAAATTAAGAGCACTCCAATCAAATTTACGAATTTTACACTCCAATTATCACTGTGCATTTCTAACAGTCGATTAACGAAGTCGAGGATCACCCGATTCTATTTACCTGAGTGAATAATAACAAATATAAGAGACGCGACACGTCAGGACAAGCACCGGTCGCGGAAACGAAATTGTTCCTTCGTAAAGTACTTACGACACGTCTCGACGATCGCACATCACTACTTTCGACACTCTCGACATTTATTTCCGCACAAAACTCACTTATGACGGACAAAAGCATGAAATCGCGGAGCAATGTTGATCGATGTTAATGACGATTGCTCAAAAGATTGCAGAATGGCGACGCAATTGAAAATATATCCCAAAAATACGCGCAGAGATTCAGACGATGTCGCTCCCCTAGCGACGTGTCCGTATATAGCTCTCTCTTTCTCTTTTGATAACAGACAGACTGCCTCGCGAGATCGACGTCGTAAATATCCCTTGCGTCACTTACTCTTTCTCTCTAATTATCTCACTGTATTTCTACATCCCGATTAATAAATCCGACGATCGTTCGATTCTATTCGAGTGAGACGAAGATGAAAGTGAGAATGACAGACACCGTCTCGACACGTTGCGCTAAGTATAAGTTGCATATACAGTTGACTGAATAAAGGTTCCGACACTTTCTCGACAAGTTTCGTGACGATCCCGTAGCCAATAAGAGAATTTGTTGTCTAGCAATTCTTTGGAGATCTTGCTATTGGACACGGAATACGTTGCAAGACTCATCGAGTGGCGTTACACTCGATCTGCTAACTATACCGAAAAATAAGGGTACACTCCCTGTCGGTTAGACACGACGCGACAAGCACCAGTCATATGTATCGAAAAATAAGCAGATTACTCCGTAATAACGTACTTACGATACGTCTCGATGATCGCACAACGTTATCTCGGTACTATCCCGACCCTTTTTTCGCACGAAACTTACTTTTTCGATAGATAAAAAACGCGTGAAACGGAGAACGATGTTGATCAATGCGTCAATGGCAATGCGTCGATGCAAGAAGATCGAAGTCCACAAGACGCTTGTCCCGTGGCAGGTGGCGCCGCGGCAGACGATCTAACTCTCATGAGAACGCAGTCCGCTGATAGGCTACCGCGATGTTAGCCTTATCGCACGACACTATCGTTTCTATACTATTGTATACACAGTGTGCGTATTTTCGATCTTTTTGTATCGAGCAGCCGCCATCAGCGCATCGATCTATATCGCTCCGCATTTTGCGTATCTTTCGTCTGTCGAAAGTGAATCTCGCACGAAAATAAGTGTCAGGAATATCGACGATAACGATGTGCGGACGTCGGGACATATCGTAAGTATGATATTGGCAAGTAATCTATCCGTTTTTCAGTACACATAAGCGGTACTTGTCGCGTCGTGTCGAGCCGGCGTCTGTCACTTTCACTATCATCTGTTGCACTCAAATAGTGATAGAATCGGACGATCGGCGGATTTATTAAGCGGGAGTTAGAAACGCGCGGTGGTAATCCGAAAAATTGATAGATAATATAAACGCCAAAAATATACGCGACGCCGAATCTCGAGCGATAGCTCGTTCTATTAGTAAGAGAAAGAAAGCGAGAGAAGAGTGACAGAGCGCGTCGCTATAGGAGGGCGACACCATTCAAATCTCAACGCGCATTTGTGGCGTACGTTTTTAATTGCGTCGCCATTCGCGACCTTTTTGCGTCGAGCAACCGTCACTAACACATCGATCCACATCGCTCCGCATTTTGCGCGTCTTTTGTCCGTCGAAGGTGAGTCTCACGCGAGAATGTTGAAGATATTGCGATGTGCGGACGTCGGGGCGTATCGTAAGTACGTTATTAAGGAGCAATCTTTTCATTTCGCAATACATAGAGTCGATGTTTGTCGCGCTGTATTTATTGCCCATCGAAATTTTTGTCCGCTTGAAACGTTATGACTCGGTGCGAAACAATAGACGCGTGGCGATGTTCTTGTAACATTGATCACTTTGAAGGTCCGCAATGACTGGAGTTCGACAAAGAAAGCTGCTTTGTAGCTATTGTAGTTATTGTAGCTATTGTAGCTTTGTAGCTATTGTAAAATTTGTGAATCTAATTGGTACATGTTCTTAAATTCAACAACGATTAAGAACATATGCTAATTAAATTCACGAATTTTACAACAATTTCAAAGCAACTTTCTCTGCTAAGCACAGCTAATTAAAATTATATTATATTATTATATTTTTAAAAACGTTGATTCCTTTCATCTCTCAGCCAGTTAGTGCGAAAGTAAAATCGTCGTGCGTCACACTAAAAAATAATCACGCTCTCGTCTGCATCATGGTAATTATTGTGTTTCTCCATTAGAATCATCTTATCGTTCTCATCTTAACGAATGACAGTGCTTTGAGGGAGTATTCAGTGCCACAACGCAGCAGCCAAGAGCCAGGGTGTTGAATCGGAAAGCCAGGAAGCTAGAATGTAGGCAATGATACATCACAGACATTTAAGATGCAGGAAACTAGAACGTAGACAATGATACATCATATATCTCAAGGTATACGAAATCATTTATTATATAAAAAATTTCTCATTTTAATTAACGTTAAACGGATCTAGAATAAAGAATTATCCAAGAGTCAAAATATTTGAACTAGTATTTATAATCTGTCATTTGTCAAATTATGATTAAACAATTATAGTTACATGAATTTCTGATTACTCCTCAACCTATGTTTGTATGTACAAGTATTTATTTTATATTATAAGAAGTTTGATCTTAAGAGTGGAGTGTCAGTTTATGAATACATATCTGTAATTAAATATGCTTTTTATCAAATATGGCAAATGCCCATTATAAATACTGATGTTAGAATTTAATGTCAGTCTTGCATATATGCATTGATCTGATTTATGCATCTTTATAATGACTTTTTTAGTCATAAATTCTACTTTAAATTTGTCAATATTTTTTTTCATTTCTTGTCTTGTTATTATGTGTGCATCAAATTCAAATTATACTCTCTATTAGTACAGTGTATTATTGGACACACAACTGTTATTTGGTAACCATTTTCCGCGTTATTTGATCATATTAATTAAATATATAATTGTATACTTTTATGTCCACATATTACACAAATAAATTATAAGTAAATTACACAATATATTGTTTATTAAAATTGAAAACAGAAATTGAATATATTAGATCTTGAAATAAGTCTCAACATGAACGGAACGACTGTATGTAAATGTACTATAAAGGTAGGGCAATAGTCTGCATAACTTTAAATCTCGAGATTATCTGTTGATCCCTCAAATCTGACAAAATTTATAGAATTAATTTAGAGCAAAAATTTCGACTCTGATAAAACTTATACAATACATTTATATAACGTTTTGATCTTGTTTAAAGTAAAGGAAATTTCTTTGTGATTTTTTAAGTATACTGAGGAAAAAAATATCTAAGAAATGACAAATATTTATTTATACGATGGCAGGTTACTAGTAGCATATACTTATACTGATATAAAATATTTTTTTAATAAAAAATATATATTTTTCTAAACTTCTAAAAACTGTTTTTCATGAAAGCTATTATTTATTCTGTTTGAATAAAAGAATTTACATGTAAACAAATATGTGCTGTCAATACCACACCAAATAAATATTTACTAATTTTTTAATGTTTTTTTTCTCAATATACAAAGATTAACTGTTAAAATTTCTGAGCTAAGGATATATATGATTAAGCTTCTATCTATTGTATTTACGGTTTGATCGTATCCGAATTTGAATGTCGTCTGTTTCGAAATTGGATTTCCAGTTTATCGAGCGTGAATTTCGATCGAGTTTACGTGATATAACGCAGTGAATTGACTAAGCTAAATGTTTAACAATTTCGACATCTCATATCTTTCCATACGATTGCACGGACATTAATCGCGGTAGAATCATGATTTCTTGGGAAAGCATCAAACCGTGACGCCGATTTTCACGTTAGAGTTCACGTTTTCCCAAAAGCACGTGCGCACTTCCACGTCGCAATTAACGGACCTGCAGCAATACGTTTTGTCCGAGAAGCGCAATCTCGTTATAATTCATTATACAATTCGCCCGATTCGCACTCTATTCTCCTTTGTGCGGCAAGTTGAGCGAGAGTTCACCGAGTTTGCGCCCGAAATCAGCAAACGCTCTCATCAACCCGGGTCGTTCATTAAAACCGTAAACGTTCGGCGGCGCATCCCCCTGGGTAGCCATTATGCGGTTTCCGGGTAATCGAATATTCGCGTGATCAAGGAGAAACGGTCTGTAACGCAATCGCGTGTCGAGTCTTCGAGTAAGGCTGCAATTAACGAACTTGACTAGGTGGCTCGAAAGAACAACGAAGCCATCCGAGTGCAACGACGGATGTAGTGATTGCCGATCGCGAGAATCGTTCAATCGTATATTTCCAAATTCGTGTATTTGCTAGTCAAAATCGCGCTATTACTCCTCCAACTGAACTGCTCAAAGTATTATCGAATATAAGGTATCTCGAAAAAATGCAGAATTCGTTTAAATCGCGAAAATATCGAATCGCGAATTATCATTCGATTTTGTCCGCGAAACTTTTGCGCGTTCTTGCACCAAAAGTGTATTACGTTCACTTGGACGGGACGCTTTCCAATTTTGACG